GCAATGCATAAGGAGAGCAGTGACTGACGTCAGTCACTGCTCTCCTTATGCATTGCATGGCAGGCACCTATTGTTCTACACCCAATAGAATGTCTCTTTATTATTTATTATTCTTCCATCACCGTTAATGCGCCTCAAGTCCGGCATTATTGCTATTATTTTTATTGGGGATCGGAGTTACTATGGCAACGTAAAAAGTTAAAAACGAGCGAAATTTCCAACTGACGAAACCGCAGAGTGAGAAATGGAGTGGATTTTTGACCCTAAAGTAATTTTGAAATCGCTCTCATGGCTGCAAAAATTGCTCTATTGGTATGAAAGTCAGTCATGGCATGCCTGCTCCCGTAAAATGTTTTCAAAATTTCTCTAGGGCTGACAGTTTTCTGTCACATGCTTTCAGAGTGAAATCATGTGACAGGGTACCTTCAGGCACTCAACCATTCATTTTCAGACTTTTCTGAAAAATTTCTGAGCTCAGTGCACACCATTTTTCTCTCATCGCTGCTATTTCTGTGAGTGACCTACAGATGTGAATCGCGGTACTATTGGAGATGACAAATAGCCCTCTCATATGCTTCAAACTGTTTTTGGATCGGCCTTACGGATCCTGAACGGGAAGCAGTTGTTCGGACTGCTTTTTTCATCAAAACTGACTGGGTGTCTCAGAAAGATAGAAATCCTTCTCCACCTTTCTGTCTCTCACACACAGCATTTGGCTGAGGATTAATCGCTATAGCAACAGAACACAGAGAAAGGCAGAGCTGCTGGTTTGGACTACAAACCAGCAGCTATAACTGCCATAGCTGTAGTTCTGTCTATGGCCAAGACTCAGTTAAAACAGAGGCCTGAGCAGAAGGTCAGAACTACAACATGGTGGAACACTCAGTTATTACAGAGGAGGGATTTAGAACTATTTGCTATTTTAGGCATAATATAGTTGGATTAAACCAACCACTGTTACACATTGGATTAGTGTGGCCATTTAAAATGAAGCTTACTGAAAATTTCAAAATAAAAGCCTTGACAACTTTTACATCAGGTAATTGCTCTTGTGGGCTTTATGTGACTGGTTTAAACAAACCACTGTTACACATTGAATTAGTGTGGTCATTAAAATGAAGCTTACTGAAAATTTCAAAATAAAAGCCTCAATAATCCTCTCAGGTAAGTGCACCGCCATAGGCGGTGCAACAATATCAGCCTTTATTATCTGTTATTCTCATGATAGTGAACTGCCTTGCATAGCAAGGCAGTTCATTAACATTAGTACAAACATTAGCATTTCACTGCTCCCACTAGTGCAGTGCCTTGCGCATTAGCCATTTTCCTAAAGTTAGCTATTAGCTAGTTTGCTTATTAATTAGACATGTTTAGTATATTGACTGCGACAGACTGACGACCTGTCCAGGATGTACGCCGCCTCTCGCCCGGAACGTTAGCTGGAGATGGGCACCAGCACCCCTCCCGACCCCACTGAGGGACAAGGGTGTTCAGAAAATGGATGGATGGATAGTATATTGAATGTAGCATGACAAATTAAAACAACATGCTAGTCATGCTCCACATGCTACTGCCAGCATTTAGGCTAACATCAGCATTTTGGCTAATTTCAACTTATACACTAATTTTAACATAGTGAATGGCATACGTCCATGCTACTCAACATGATTGAGACTCTCCACATGCTTTTGAGTACATTGCAGCTTTTTTTTTTAGCATTGATGCTAATTTTTAGCATCAGAACGCTGGGTCCAAACCGACGAGCCCACTTTGGTATGCGCCGGTTAAATTTCTTCAGGAATTTTCTAGTTGCAAACTATTTTGCAGTTTTTTTTTTTTTTTTTTTTCTTTTTACAAAAAAGGTATATATTATTTTTGAAATGCTGTGTTTGCTTGTGTATTGTAAAAGTAAAACGCGGTGACTGCTCTATTACTATTATTTATTTATTTTACCGAACTTGTACCGTCCATTTTTTCAAATCAAACTCAACTGGGCGCGTGAAAGCTAACCATTCATGGCGTCATGCTACTTATGTCTCAATCCTGCTTTTTTAAAATGTCAAGCTGCAGTTGTCTTATTTGCTAAACATGATTTGATGTCCCGGTTGTTAACATAAAAGCAGGTGGTCATTTAACTTCGGTAAATATGTCAAGTTTGGGGTTTTAGAATATGGGAAATGTCGCCTGGAGTGGGGGGGTATTTAGAGGGGAGTATGGTGAGTTCGAACGACGAACGAACGTAAACTGGGGTGGAGGGGAACCGTTAGACCAGGGGACGACCGTCAGACTGGGGTGGGGACGGCTCGTGTTTCAGTCAGTGTTAAATTTGTTTCATGTTCGGTGCTCTAATCAGGCATGTTGAGATTAAGTTAGGTTGATAAACTGTTACAGTGGGTCAGAAGCTTCTTGCCTCATATAAATTGTAAGTCAGTGGATTGTACATGCAGATAGTTAATTTTCCTATTTCTGAAATAGGAATAAACATCACTGAGAGTAAATAAAAGTGACGTTTGCAAAGAATTTCTTCCAATTGGGACTTTTTACTGAAATGCCTGCTCATTATCGGTTATTGTAGCTTAGCTTAAAAACTATATAAATAGTACTGTTCTAAATTTGTTGTCAGAACAAATGATTTTATTTAATTGTTAAAAAAAAACACCAAATGATTGATTTAATTATTGGAAGACTTGCATGTGTTGGTGTTTATATTTCCTTCTCCTTATATGGTTATTTTGTTGTCTCTCCTCAACAGCTGCATCCAGACACTCCTGAACTTTTCCTGGCAAGCAACTAGGCATCTTTATAATAGGTGTGTACATTTGTTTTTGTTTTACTCAACCTGTTAAACTTTTAGTTTAAATTAAGAAATGTGTGGTGTTTTCTACAATACAGTAACATAGACATAACGTTTTGTTATGTGTCTTTCTAATAATGTCTAACGCAGCACTATGTAACTTATGATACTTTTTTTTTTACATATTTGTTGAAGTTGTCACTGTGTCCTGATATTGCATGAGAGATAATCTGTGAAAAAAATGTATCTCTTCTGTTAGACAGTGTTAACTGGATTCAAACAGTCAGAGCCAGGAGGCAGGTCTTAGCGTGTCAGTCACAAACTCTTGTGGTGCTGCTCATCCCACTTCTCCCCGATCTCTTGCTTTTGGCTACGCTGCAGCTAACAGAACCTGTCATGAATGTTAAGGATGAATGTTAAGGCTAGTTTGCATGGACACCGATGACAGTGGATAAACGGTTTTCCTGTAATGGTAAGTTGATTGACAGCGTGAAGAGGTTGATTGACAGCGCTAAGACTCTCCTCCTGTCTCTGATTGGTTGGTCGGGCCAGATGCCCGAACCTCCTCAACTGGCTCCTCTCAACGTGGAGGAGCAGTAGCTCTACTCTGTCCCTCCCGGATGACCGAGCTTCTCACCTTATCTCTAAGGGAGAGCCCAGCCGCCCTGCGAAGGAAACCCATGTCAGAATTCATCAGAATTATTCAATGTTGTTTGTGAAAGAGCAATTAGCAATTGGTGAGACGCTGATGAGCAAGGTGATATGCTGCTGTAATGTAATTTAGTAGTGTTTTGTAAAAAGTAAGTTTATAACATGAAGTGTTTCTGTGATAAACTTGAGTATCCATTCTCTTTTTTTTAGAGTTTTTCTGGGCTCAAACCCTGAACGAGGTCGACTGACACGTCGCCAACGAAGGTGAAGAAGCAGCTTTGCCTTCCAACCAAATGGCTCAAGTCCCTTAATGAACTGAATGACTGGGAATCCATGGAAAATTTGAGCCTTTTGAAGTTTAAATGTGATTGATCATCTCATCAAACCTGGTGCACCAAGAACCTTTGCGAAGCACAAGAACTGGTCAGAACATTTCAAGCTCTTGGTAACTGGACCTAAGAGTTGGATTAACCTTTTTTTGCAGAACATAAACATAAAATGGACTGTTTTGTTATGTTCACAGCGACTAGAGGTAATGAGAGCACACACTCATGAATCCAGTGTCTTCCACTGTTGTTGGCATTAGGCTGTGTTTATGTAGCATTTGATTTTTAACAAAATATTTATACCTGTATTTCATAAAAAATAGTGGTTGACTTTCGGCATTTATTTTGAAGTATGTTGGTCCTGTTTACAACTATGATTTTCATGTTCCAAAGCAATTTTTTGTATGTTCCATCTGATAGTAATAACCTAACAAAATTGTTTATTTGACTTCAAAGACTAGAGTCAAGACTGCTTTACAAAGTTAAGCAGTCTTGAATTCAATTGAATGAGTAGGTGTGTCCAAACTTTCGGTCTGTACTGTATGTTGAAAATTTGTATAGTAAAATGCAATTAATTAGTTGTGATGTACAGAAGATAAACATTAGCAAGCTCAAGAATATGTTTAGCTCTTAATATATAATAGTGAAGGTTAGTTATATAGACTAGATGACATGTCAATTTATGGTCTTAAATTGCAAAATAAGGTCTGCAAATTGTTTGTAGAATGGTTTCATTTTTATATCACTTTGCATGAGCTACTTTCAAAGTAAGTGTTTTGTGTTCTACAACTATGTTTCCTGTGGACTTAGAATTTAGTTTTGTTTCAAAATTCAATGGTCAATCAATGGTTTGGAAGACAAAAGTATTTGGAAATGTTCACAGCTTTTAAAAAAAAGTTTGTGAACATATCACAAAAGACAGTAAAAAGACAGAAAATTTCAGTTTTGCGTTAACAAAAT